GACCAGAACACCTGAAGACAGGCGGACCAGAACACATGAGGACAGGCAGACCAGAACACCTGAAGACAGGCGGACCAGAACACCTGAGGACAGGCGGACCAGAACACCTGAGGACAGGCGGACCAGAACACCTGAAGACAGGCGGACCAGAACACCTGAAGACAGGCGGACCAGAACACCTGAGGACAGGCAGACCAGAACACCTGAAGACAGGCGGACCAGAACACCTGAAGACAGGCGGACCAGAACACCTGAAGACAGGCAGACCAGAACACCTGAGGACAGGCAGACCAGAACACCTGAAGACAGGCAGACCAGAACACCCGAAGACAGGTGGACCAGAACACTTGAAGACATATGGATCAGAACACCTGAAGACAGGTGGACCTGAACACCTGAGGACAGGTGGACCAGAACACCTGAGGACAGGTGGACCTGAACACCTGAGGACAGGTGGACCAGAACACCTGAGGACAGGTGCAGACATCTCATCGAATCACTTGATTGTTTTGATTGAGTTAAAAAGATTGTAATAAAATATAAATAAATGTTTGTTGAGTCAAGTTGAAATAGGTTTATTGTAATTTCATCACGTGGTACATGAGGTGGAACCAAATTATATATTCAGGGTCCCAGTTCCATCCAAATATAACAAAAATATAAAGTGTAAAAAGAAACAATAAATAATATGTAGATATAAAGTAATAATATAAAACAGGACAGAATAACAACGACAGCAAGTTTTATTAAAATAATTCTGTTTAATCAAATTTAAGAACATTTATTTATTTATTGCCTTTTATTAGTTATTTCAGTGACCGTTTGTAGTTTTTCTTTCTTTAATAAAAGGATACAGACGAATGTTAATGCATGTAAATAAATAAAGTCCAGAAGAGGAAGAAGACGTGTCCTCATGTGATTCCTGTAAATTCAGACCTGCTTGTGTTTTTGTGCACCAGGTGAAGCTGTGGGAGTCACACCTGTTGGATGCTGGCTGGTCATTTAAAAACAGAAAACTCGTCCCGTGCAGCTCATTAGCCTGAACTAAAAGGTGACGACACCCAGCAGACGTCATGCCTCTGTTGTCTGTGATGATGCCGTCATCGCTCCAGAGACGCGCGCTCCAGTTTGAAGCTGCGCGTCTTGGAGGAGGCGCAGCTTCCAGACGGTGGAGCTGGGAGTCCGGACGGGGGTGTCAGGATACAGAGAGACCAGATCTGTGCCGAACCAGCGATGGGCGTCCCCCCCAGGACCCGCGCACAGGCGGCGCAGGACGCGCGCGGCGGCTGAGCCACAAACGTGGGGGGGCTGTTGTGAGCAGAGATGTGCGTGTGTTGCGCGTCGGGCTCTCCGCTCTCCGGGCCGGGTCGTCGCCCCCCCTCGCGCTTCCCGTCAAGTCATGTCTGATCCAGAGCGATGGGCAAGTTCGACGACAACGAGAGGATCATCCTCAACGTGGGGGGCACCAGGCACGAGACGTACAAGAGCACCCTGAAGACCCTGCCGGGCACGCGCCTGGCCCTGCTCGCCTCCGACTCGGACCTGGACTCGGTGCTGGACCAGCTGCAACAAGTCCCGGGCTTCATCGAGTTCAACGCGCGCACCAACGAGTACTTCTTCGACCGCCACCCGGGCGTGTTCGCGTACGTGCTCAACTACTACCGCACAGGGAAGCTGCACTGCCCCGCGGACGTGTGCGGGCCGCTGTTCGAGGAGGAGCTCTCCTTCTGGGGCATCGATGAGACGGACGTGGAGCCGTGCTGCTGGATGACCTACCGCCAGCACCGCGACGCCGAGGAGGCGCTGGACGTGTTCGAGCTCAACGTGGACACCAACGTGGACGAGGACGACGAGGTGGGGAAGAGGTTCGGCATTGAGGACGTGGCCGCTGACGGGCACGTGAGCCTGTGGAGGAAGTGGCAGCCGGTCATCTGGAACCTGTTCGAGGACCCCTACTCGTCCCGAGCGGCGCGGGTAAGCACGCACCGCTGCGCCACTGGCTCAAACTCTTCATCGCTGCGTTCAAAGTTTGATTGGAGTTCGTGTCCGAGCTGTAGCTTCAAGTTCACAACCATTAAAGCATTACAAGAAAACTTCAGGGCTTTTTTTTAAAGGTTTTGGCAAAGAATATCTTACCTGTTGTAGATGTGAGCAAAATACAAGTTTAGGCATTCATCTTTACCCGCTTCTTCCTTTTTGGGTCACGGGGGTCACTGCCCCATATCCAGCAGTCACTGTGTGAGAGGTCGGGGACACCCTGGACAGGTCCAGTCCATCACATGGAGACAAAGCAGACAAACAGCCATTCACTCTCTCACAATTTAGAGTTACAGTCAGTCTAACATGCATGTTTTTAGTTTGTGGGAGGAAACCGGAGCACCCGGAGAAAACCCACACAGCACGGAGAGAACATGCAAACTCCACCCAGAAAGGCCCCCCAGCCAGGATTTGATCCAACAACCTTCTCGCTGAGAGGCGGCTGCTCTACCAACTGAACCACTGTGCTGCTCAAGTTTAATTCCATCTGTATTTAATCACAATTACATCAGCTACTTTAAATCTCAGTGGATTATAGATTATTGTAAAACATATAAAAACAGTAAACGGTCCACACTGATTGTACTTTTTTTTTTTTTACCCTCTCAGGTAAATCCAGTTCATTTTAAGGACTTGGGTCAACGCAGTGAATGTTAGGAACCCCATTTAATTTGTCACGTGTATTTATTTTACCAACAGACTACCAGTAAAACATATAAATAACTGCAACTTCTAGGTCAGATGTTTATCTGACAACTTTTTTGACATCTACAAAATAAAATCAAATAAAAATAATAATTGTCCTTGAATGACCTCCAACTTTTCCTCTGGTCTTTGCCCTTGATACGTTTTGCTCTCTGGAATCTGAGCCAAATGAAAACACGTCTGAAGCTGAAACGTCCCTGTTTTCTACAAATCGATGCATGAAGCATAGAGCGCTGCTCTAACCCACCCGTCCCTTCACACCCACCTGCTGCTGCTCGAACGATCGTTTATAAACCTGCCATACATGGTGCATTACGGATATATTCATCAGATTGTTTAGTTGTGTGCACACAGCAGCACTTCAGCAGGATGATCGTAATCTTGTTGCCAGAGTAGCTGTGTGATGTGACATAGATTGCAGGTTTTATAAAACAACGTTCACATAAACTGCTGTAAGAGTGTCTGACTCTAAAGCTGGAAGGCGACACTTTGAGCTTGGTGCCACGCCGACTAGCCATCGGCTCGTCAGTCCCTTCAGAAATAAACCTCCAAAATGAGGTTTTTCAAAAATGCAACAGGTAAGATGTTCGTTGCTCATAACCATTTCACAGAACCTCTAAAGTATATTATCTTGACACTTGCTGCTCTCCCGAATCTAATTTCGCCTCAGACAACGAGTTTTCACCTTCCTGAACAGGTTCGACCTTGATAAAAGAGCGTGCACGTTACGGCGTACACGTCATCCAGGCCCAAGCTGTGTCGCTGCAAACACGTTTACTGGGTCACAGCTCTGACACGTTCCAGCGCCCACCATGGTTCAGGTGTCAAACTTCAGCGTTTCATTCTTTAAAGCTCTGGTTTTAGAACAATGCAACAGATTGAATTATGATTTATAGATTAAAAAAAACAAACAGTAAATTTTAATTCTAGTGGGAAAAAAAGCTTTGTATTGGTACTTTTCAATTGGAAACACCACGATTTAAACTGATAAGAAATACAGCAGCTTTTTAAAAATACCTTTAATAGAAAGAGTATGAAGTGTGTCAGTGAAAGACAGGCGTCCTGATAAGCTGGCCTGGAGCTGCAGGTGGATTCTGGGTACGAAGCAGATTGTTCACTGATGCAATGATGTCATTTTGTGTAAAACTGAAATGAATTCAAACAGTAAGACCAAATCCTTCATAATGTCTCCCGCGTGTTGTTTCTCATGATGTGCCGGTGAGCAGGAGGTCAAAGGTGCTCTGACATCATGTACCTAGATGTTTTGAACCCTTCAGGTCAGTTCTGCAGCAGCTTTAGTTCATTTAATTATTTATATATTTCTTTCTGTTTTATAAAGCTGATTAAATGTAACTTGTGTAAAGAGGATTTAAAACATTTTAAGTATGATTTGGACATGAATTTCTTTGCTGGTGTGCTGCTCTTTGGATTTTTTTATGCTAATGCTGTTTCCGGTCACTTCGTACCCCAACATCGTACTGAACCTTTATCATTTTATGCACATGTATTCAACATTTCTTACTCATTGCAAATGTCTGTCTGTTCCTTTGCCTACAAAGACTAGCCCTAAGTGTAACCAAAGTCGGTTCTTCAACCCTCTTTAATCTAATTTTTACTTTTATTCTGCCCCTACGCAATAATCCAAGCCCTAACCACGGGATTATATTCTAATTGTTGGATTTCTTAAAACTTTGTCACGTTTCCCATAAACGTCACTTTACTGCCCTCTAGTGTTCCTTAAGGGAAAATTACCACTGATGAGATCCATTATAAATGCATTTTTTATTCTCATATTTATTATAATACAATTCTCATATATATCATAATATAATGCATTCTTTCAGTTTGTTTTTTTCTTCAAATCTATGCCTCCACCTTGGATTTTTATGTTTATTTCACTAGTTAGTTTCACTTTTGAGAGATGCTGAAATGTTGCGTTTAACTTGCAAAAAGTGCGTCCTTCTCACTGCACGTTCCTGTCCGCTCTCTTATCTCTTGAGACAATAGTTGTAGTTTGGATGTACACAAGCAAAAAAATGTTTCATGCATGAGCAAGCATTTGATACAAAAAGTAGGTCCACATGCACGCAAACAAAAAACATCATCAACACCTCAAAAACAAAAAAAACGAAGCTACGTAGCCACCCGACTGTATCTCTGTGCATATATACATACATCTAACTAACTAATTAACTAACTAACTAACTAACTAACTAACTAACTAACTAACTAACTAACTAA